GGTGAGGCGGGGGAACCGGGCACGGGGGGAACACAGCGGGGTGGGCAGCCGGGGCCGGGCGCTGACCGGCATCTACCCGCAGGAAGAAAAAGAAGGCGAAGGACAAGGCCCAGATCCTGGAGCAGATCGTGAGCAGCAAGAAGCAGGAGGAGGAGAAGAAGCGCGGCCTGGACAAGCGGACCCCGGCGCAGGTGGCCTACGAGAAGATGCAGGAGAAGCGGGTAGGGCTGCCCTGCCTGGGCCAGACCCCGTCTGGGGTTTTGGGGAGTGGATTTTAAAACCCCAGTCGACCCCTCAGATGCAGCTCCTGAGGGGCTACGAGTGCTGGAAGTAACTGGCCTCCCTTGTCTCTTCCTCCAGCAAATGGAGAGGATCCTGAAAAAAGCGTCGAAAACCCATAAGCAGAGGGTGGAGGTAAGCTAAATTATCCCGATTTACTCAGGCCAGCCTGTATTTAGCTTGTTGGCTTGGAGGAACTGTTTCACCTTTGTGAAACACAGAAGCAAGGGGGCAGGAGGTGGTGTGGTTCGATGGTGGTGATGTCAGCACCAAATATTAAACGTTTTCTTTCCCTTTCTCTTCCCTAGGACTTCAACAGGCACTTGGATACTCTGACTGAGCATTACGACATTCCTAAAGTCAGCTGGACTAAGTGAATGGACTGCTTTTCAAGGCTGTTGATCAGGAGCTGTTTTTTGTTTGTATTGAATAGGGTTGCCATGTAAATCTGTGTATTCTCCACATTGAATGTTTAATATATCTTTGGAACATTTATGACTTTGTATTGTCTTATTTCATTGTTTTGGTTTTTAAAACCAAATATTCAACAAAGTCTCTTCTTGGCTAATAGCTCTGATTTATATTGGTGCAGAAGGCTATTTTTTTTTAGCGCTTAAAGGAGGATTAAGGCCAAAATCAATTGCTGGAAAATGTTCCTTTATTTGCTTGATACTAGCAGTTGTTTTTGGACGTGAAGAGCCTTTGACAGTCTCCCATAGCATAAGCTTCTCTTTTAAGTTACAGGAATTGTCTGATTTCTGTCTAGAGTGCTTTCACAGGTGAGAGGGTCTGCTGTAACTTATAACTTCGATGTAACTTTTTATTAAAATGCTACTTGCATCCTTTCTTTGGTGCTGACTTGCCTGCAAAATCAGGGGCAGTGCACTGATGAAACAGTTGTTTGTGTGTGGAATTTTTGACGTGCCTTGCCTGCCTTTATAATTCTTATTCCCTGGAGAGATGACATCTACCTTGATGTTTAAAATCCTAACATGTCTCGTAAACCCGAATATTGTTCTTAAACCCAAATATTCTTCTTAACCTCGACTGTCATCCCCCTGCTGCTGCTGGTTGGGTGCTGGGTGCTCAGCAGTTTCCCAGGGCTCCCACCTCAGCCTGCCCAACCCTCCCCTGTGGGCTGCAGCCCCTCGTCCCGGCGCCATTAGCGCCCAGCCCCACTCCCGGGGCTGCTTCAGCGTTGTGGGACCGTTTCCCAGCGGGGAAAAAGATCCCCGGGACTATTTGGCGTACGACTCGGTGAGTTAAAGTGCTCTTCCGCCGCCGCGGCGGAGCCCTTGCGCGTATCCCTCCCCGCAGCAACCGGGTCTCGTCCCGTCTCTGTTCGTCACTTCCTGCCGGAAGTGCTGTGCGGGAAGCGGAAGTCGGTGCCTCTGCGATCGGGCAGCACGGCGGCCCGGGCGGGAGGCGGTGGTGGGGCGATGTCGGCCAGCGCTGTCTACGTGCTGGACCTGAAGGGGAAGGTGAGGCTCAGGCTGCTGCGGGGGCCCCTGCAGGGCCGAAGCGGAGGGGCCTCCCTCGCCGCGGGCTGCTGAGGGGGCTGGGCACACTCCGGTCCCTGAGGGGGCCCAGGGATGGTGGGGCTCCCCGTGATGGTGGGGCTCCCCCGGCCTCACTGGGGTCAGCGGGAGCCGCTTTCACCTTCCCGGCACCTCCTTGCTGCCAGCTCCCGTTTTACGTGGCACCGCGGGCCCGAGCTGTGACAGGGGAGTCGTGGCCTGTATCTCTTCGCAGCTACAGATGCTGAGGGAGGTGGCTGCTGGCAGCAGGCATGCCAGCAGGGCTCTCGGGCATCCCACCTGGAGTAATTAATCTCTGCTGTAATTGGAGGTAGTTTGTCTCAGAGGAGTTGCAGAGTTTTCCGATCTTGGTGTGTGCAGCACTATGTGAAGAATGACTCCGGAAAATATTAATACATGACTTTGCAATGAAAAATTAGGATTTACATTCTTATCAGGAAAATACTTTGACGTTGTGATTTGCGTTTGTGGAGTGCATAGAGGCTAGAGTGAAGCTTGGTGACTTTTTTAAAGTTACTTAAAGAGGTCTTCCAAATATCTTGTGCGTTGGTCCTGCATGGTGATACCATCTCAAAAAGGGAAGAAATATAAGGATTTTGTTCCTTTCTTTATAGGTTCTCATCTGTCGGAATTACCGTGGAGATGTGGACATGTCCGAGGTGGAACATTTTATGCCAATCCTTATGGAAAAGGAAGAAGAGGGGACGCTTTCTCCTATTCTAGCACATGGAGGAGTTCGGTTTATGTGGATTAAACATAACAACTTATATCGTATCCTTTATACTGCACATAGCTCGCATACGCTGATATGCCAAGTGCTACTATGTTATTTTCATTGTGTCTAAACGCAAAGCTAGAGAATGAGTGAAGTGACATAAGGAGGCTCTATTAAATAAAGTCTTTTATGCTTTACATAGTGTAATGTGCACCAGCAGCGTAGGATGAAGAAAAGTATTTATATTAATTTTACCCTAACAAATTATTTCCTCAATGTTTATCTCCATATCTCATTAGACCAGGGGTACCGTTAATTCATTAACTGTTAGTTTTTTTGGCCATCTCTAATTGCCTAAAGGCTTTTAAAAATGCACTTAGTAAACATTTTTTTGAACGGTGATGGTGAATGCATGTTCCTGAACATCCTTTATCAGTTGTTGCAACTTCTAAGAAAAACGCTTGTGTATCACTGGTGTTTTCATTTTTATATAAAGTAGTTCAGGTGAGTAAGAAATTTCAAAAGTAACCTGTCTTTTTCGGTTCAATCTAAATCTGATCTCAATAGAAGTGCATAGAGCTTTCACATTTTTAAAGAACTCTCTGTAATAGCATTTTTACTTTATATTTGATTGTTTTGTAGAACTGTCTTCCTAACCACTAATAATGGAATTGATATTTTGTAGCTGAGTAGGCAAAGGATGTGACACAGTGCTGTAAGTAGTTACACAAGACCGGAGAACACTGAGGAGAATTGTGAACTTGATGCATGAGTAGTGGCATATCACATAGCTTCTACGTTTGGTTCATCTGTACCTGGCATGAAAAATATTTTTCCTAGAATAAATATTTTTCATAATGCTCAGAGTTGTTTCTAGGATTCTGTAGCGCTCTTTTTTTAGTTGAGTTTCTTGAGGTTAATCTTCTGAACAGAATGCTGTTTGTGAATTATGGGGTTTGGTTTGGGGCTTTTTAAAAATTACCATTTTACATGCAAGAATACATTCTGAATGTGCTGTAGTTCCTCAGTTAATGTCCTCATTCTTCCCCTCCCTTCTGTTATTTTGTTTCAGGTTTTTTCTGAATATTTCAAGGAGTTGGAGGAAGAGAGCATTAGGGATAATTTTGTTATTATTTATGAGTTGTTAGATGAGCTTATGGATTTTGGTTATCCACAAACCACTGATAGTAAAATTTTACAAGAGTAAGTATCATTCTGCATCACTTAAGGTGACAAACTCCTTGGAAAGTTTTGAGCATTCTTCCATATGCAAACAAATGTTTTGGCTTGGGCTAGTGATCAAAAAAATTAATTTTCATATTTTCATGCCAATTATGTGGCTGTAAAGGTACATCACTCAGGAAGGTCACAAACTTGAAACCGGAGCTCCACGTCCTCCTGCCACTGTTACGAATGCTGTTTCATGGAGATCAGAAGGGATAAAATACAGGAAAAATGAAGTGTTCCTGGATGTTATAGAGTCTGTTAACCTTTTGGTGGGTACCTTTAGCTTTTAATGAGCATTGTAATAGGAAGTGTTGAAAAGGGCTTATTGTCTGAAAACCTGCTAGGGTACAATAAAAAGTCAGACTGACTGTGGCTAGTGTACAGTGATGCTCAAAACAGTGTCAGTCATTAAGACTGAGTACCCTTAAGGGCATCCAGTAGACAAATACTGCTTTCCTTGGATGTATTGCTAATTTCTGATACATTCTTCACTGAAAAGGTTATCAAGCACTGGAACAGCCTGCCCAGGGAAGTGTTTAAGTCACCATCCCTGGAGGTATTTAAAAGATGTGGCACATAGGGACATGGTTTAGTGGTGGACTTGGCAACGTTAGGTTTACAGTTGGACTTGATGATCTTAAAGATCTTTTCCAACCTAAATTATTCTGTGATTCCTTTCCTCCTCTGTCTGTGCCCATCATCTCCCTGACCTAGTTCTATTCTACTGGATTAATTTCTCAGCAGAAAGAAAACTTGGAACACAGCAATGGGGTGGAAGTATTGTTTGATGTCATGACATATCCCATCAGAACAATCTTACCTTTCTTGTCATTTTTGTTTAGGTCAGTGCCAATGGAAACGTATTACGGAGTGAAATAGTTGGATCGATTAAAATGCGAGTCTTTCTCTCGGGAATGCCAGAGCTGCGACTTGGTTTAAACGACAAAGTTCTCTTTGATAATACAGGCCGTGAGTATTTCGGTGATATCTCGGTAATCATGAAAGATGTTATCTGAAGTCTTAAGTTTTGGGAAGCTTGAGGTTCAGCTGAAGGGATTTGTTCTGTGACAGAAATACTCCCTTTATCAGTGTAGAAAGCCACATTGGGTCTTGTGTGACAGTATCAAGCAAAAATGGAAGACCGTTGTAATATGTGGTAACCATCTAAGCTTCCTCGTGTCTTTTTCACGGGGACTTCTGTAGTCCTAAAAACCTATAGCAAGCTAAAGAAGGTATTGGCTAAAAGGGAGGAATGTCAGCAGACAACTGCTTTGCTGTGTAACTGGTTGTGATGAGACTTTGGACATAATTTGTGTAGCACCTTGAAATGTGTATTTTCTGCCAGGTGGCAAAAGTAAATCAGTAGAACTGGAAGATGTAAAGTTTCACCAGTGTGTTCGTCTCTCTCGCTTTGAAAACGACAGGACCATTTCTTTCATTCCGCCTGATGGAGAGTTTGAACTCATGTCATATCGTCTTAATACCCATGTAAGTCTGGATGTTTGCATTTTTTTTTAATATGATAATGTTGTAGATTGTAGGCAAAATTGCTAATGGCTTTCCCTTAATTCTTTTTCTTAAAGTATGGGCAGCATAGTAGTTCTTAAGTCAACCATTAATACCAAAGCTTCGTGCTTTCTCTTTTTTGGAGGAAGTAAGAATGAGTTTAGAAATAACTTGTCAGTAAGTTTCTATCTTTTCAACTGCTGTTGAAACTGGTTCTGAAATAACTGTTCCTGCCATGATTTTTTTTTTTAAGCTAACTACATGATGAAATGACAATGTAGCAATTCATTCTGCTTGACAACAGCAGTATTTATGTAATTTAATTTTATTAGAGTATGCTAACCGCAGTTATAAGGATACCTTTCCTTTCAGAAAAGGAAAAATTCAATTTAGAGAAGGTCTATAGTATGCAACTGTGACAGGAGACAACCAATTAAAAGTTTAGTATTAATTTTTTATTTTAAGGACAGTGGTTTGAATTAGTGTTATTTTTAGGGCTTGTCATAGTTTAGTCCCTGCTATGTTAAATTATCACACATTTTGTAATGCAGGTGTTCGCTGTTAGGAATTAGTCTGAGACATACCTTTTCAAGCCTATAATTCTTGTAACACTTGGATGTTGGTATATCAGTGCTTGCTCATTTGTATTGATTTATTAAACAAAAACACAACTTGTTTGTCATTTTGAACACCACAGACTTTCAGGTTTCTGTGGGGTTCACATGGTGAGTGTAGCTTTAGCGGAAGTAACATTTTCATGACTGTGTCAAAGTAAAACCTACAGCTGTAACTGTTTTTTTCCTCCTTAGGTAAAACCACTGATCTGGATTGAGTCTGTGATTGAAAAACATTCCCACAGCCGCATTGAGTACATGATCAAGGTCAGAAGTTCTGAAATAATTATGGCTAATTTTAGCCATCTCTTTTCATTTTGTTCAAAGCTTGACCAGCAGTATGTGCACTTTTGTACAATTATTTATACTTCTGTGGGACTTGCATCTTTTTGAAAACTTCATTTGTAAGTTATGATCTCTGTGTTACACTTCTGTTTCTCGGTATGTAGATTGGGGTGGAGGGGAATTGTGTGTCTCGCTGCTCTCTGAACTCACTTGCATAATGGAAATACTGAGAGGCCTGCTTTTCTGATTATTTTTTTTTTCTTCGTTAGGCAAAAAGTCAATTTAAGCGTAGATCAACTGCCAACAATGTGGAGATTCACATTCCAGTTCCAAATGATGCGGACTCGCCAAAGTTTAAAACCACTGTTGGAAGTGTCAAATGGGTTCCAGAGAACAGTGAAATTGTCTGGTCCATTAAATCTTTTCCAGTAAGTGTTATTTTTAGTCTTATCGCCTAATAGTGCAATAATTACATAATGTTAATATTTTATGATTGTTCAAACTCTCTCTAAAGCAAATTCTAATAGTATCAGACAAGTAGTGCTGGCCTCTTCCTCTTTTCCCTTGGATGAAGGCTTGGAACTTGCTAATAGATGTTTGAGATACTGTTCTTGATACTTCTTTGGTTTTAACTGGGGTAATTTTTCAGAACTAAGTTAGAGAGCAGATTTTTGAACGGTGCTTGTGGATGGTGTAATCCCTTGGCCTAGATTTAGCAGCAGCTGTTTCAGTTTGTCGGACTGTGCTTCTTGGGTGGTTCCATGAGCATGAGCTCTTTCAAATGCCAGTGGTGTGGTAGTACAGCTGTCTGACCATTTAATCAGAATGGTCAGTGGCACCAGAAAACTTAATTTTTCTTTTTTTTTCCTCTTGTAAAGTACAAAGCTGGTCTTAATTTGATCTGCATCTTAAAAAAAAAAAAAGAAGTATTTGTTTTTAAAATAAAAACAAGTGTTCACTTTTAAGCCCTAGAGAAGAGCAGAAATGATTAGTGGAGTTCAGCAGTTTGACATTAAGAAAATTACTTGTATTGTTGCCAGTATTTTATTTTTTGTTTCAAGAAAAAAAAAATCTGTCTCTTTTGGGTAGGGTGGAAAAGAATACCTGATGAGAGCTCACTTTGGACTTCCAAGTGTTGAAGCTGAAGATAAGGAAGGAAAACCTCCCATTAGTGTAAAGTTTGAGATTCCGTATTTCACCACTTCAGGAATCCAGGTTAGTAATTGAAAACAGGGATCCTGGCAAGTTAACATGCTAGGCTCTTAACACGTCTTTCTTATCTTCTTGATGATTCCTGTTCAGTGTTATTCATAGACCATATTTTTGACAAAAAAAATTTTGTTCTTTTTTGGTGAACACTGCTTGGCTGACAGAGAAGACTTTATTTCTTAACATATCTTTCTTTCCAGGTTCGCTACTTGAAGATAATTGAGAAGAGTGGCTACCAGGCTCTCCCATGGGTTCGTTATATTACCCAGAATGGAGGTAATTAGAAGCAATAGACTTCAGACCAATCTCCCAACTTGCCTGTTTTGTTTCTCCATCATACACCTACAAATTGAAACACACAAAACCAGTTTGCTCATATCTTCAATATTAAACTGTACGGTTCTAAAACATGTTAGGTTAAGCTATGCTGCTTTTTCCAGTCACCTTTTTTGGTGTCCTAAGTCAAGGCCCACTGGGATAGTTCAGTAATGCTGTTCAAGGATTTTATAACTAAGCTGGGATTCGGTGAGGTATTTGGAATATAAATGTAAAAAGAAATTGCTCATACATATCATTCTGCCAGCTTTAAGATGTATAAGACACTGTCTACTAAAAGTTACTAGATCATTTGCAAGTAAAAGCAGCGGGGCTTTTTTGGGTTTTGCTTTTTGTTGTTTTTGCTAATTAACTATTTTCCTGGCTTGGAAGCATGAATGCCTGCAATTACCTTAATTGCTTTTAGAACCCACTTTCATGGCTATTCTACACAAAGATCTGTTTGGGGTTTTTTGTATTGCTTCATCCCAATTTGCTGCTCTGCTTTACTACCTTTAGCGAGACAATTTACTACAACTGGGTTTTTGGGTTTTTTTCCCCTTTACAGACTACCAGCTTCGAACACAGTAAAACACCTCGCAAGCACCACAGACGACAAAACTTCAGGCCTAGAAATTGTTTGCAGAAGCTTCTGTGGTACTGAGAGCTGTGAATGTTGTTGCCAAGGGTCTTGTTTCTGCAGTCTTGGATTGGCAGGAGGAAGATTGGAAAATTACTGTTTTGAATAATGTGTTTGAGCATTTGAACCATTAGTATTGATTGTGTGAATATTTATTTCATTAGAACATGCTGATCTTGCTGCTAATTACATTAGGAGTAGCAGTTACCTTGAGGAGCCAGGAATACAGAATGAACCTTGAGAATGTCTTGTCAATGCCTTGTCCGTCACATTCGCAAAGTTTCTAGTATTCGTATTTTAGGATCTCTACAGACAATGGCAGCATAATATGCTACAAATTAGGGAGACAATTGTGCAATTAAATGACTGCTGAACACTTAGTTGTATTTAGCCCAAGGTATTTATTTTTTTCTGGGCATATGAGTGCCTTAACTCATTCAAAGCTCTGTTAACTTATAAAGATTTACAGAATATGAGTTAAAACTATCTGAAGTCCAAAAATACTATTTGCTCTTTAATTGTTTTCAAACCATGCAAAATGTGACAAAACCACTTCAAGTGAAGGGCTTGGAAACAAAAATCTGGGTTTGTTAAAGACTAAGTTAACTGAGAACAAGACATCACAGAAGTAAATGTCTATGGGAACATCTCTGTGGAAGCATGATGATTGCTAGCTCAAGTTAGTCAAAGTGCAGACGGAAGACTTTCAACCCTGTGATACCCCCAGGGCATGAAAACCCCATGCCAACTGACTAGTGTTTGCCTTTTTTAAATTTTTATTCATAAAAACAAGTTCAAAATTGTAATATATAGGCATAAGACCTTAGATTAATTATTTAAAAAAAAGAAGCAATTTTGAAGGTGATGAAATTTGGTAGGAAGATTGTTTTTTATTATTATTTTTCCAGATAATATACTCCAACCTCTTCCTGAAAAGTGATTGTTGTTTCTGAAGAGGCTGATAAAAATATGTTGCCATCTTTCTTCCAGCTTGCCTTTGTGTTAATTCAGGGCAAACATTTCCCCTTTTTGCTATAGTTTGCTAGAACTGTTAAACTTTATTTGCCCTAAGGGGGATGCTTTCTTTCTCACTCTTTTCTGTTTGTAAACAACTCTTACTCTAACTTCCTGGCAGAATGGATAACAGTTCAGAACGTTACACTTTAAAGGTATTATTTTTTTTTACATGCCATTTCGTTTTTTTTCTGAGAAGCTAAGATTGGCATGGGTGTACATAGTTACTTTGATTTTTCAGAAACATCTTGATGGTTATCAGTATTTTCTTTAAACAATGTTTAGAATGTTTTGGTTTGAATTTAGTACTCCTGACAGATGCTAAACTTAAACCATTAAAATCTAACTATACGTCCGCAAACGTGACGCAATACACTGCGCGCAAGGTTCTCCACACCGCTCTGTTGACAGTCCTTGACTAGCCCACAAGATTGAGAAGATACTTCAGTCATTGTCCCCACTAAATCCTTGTAGACTATATATAGAGAGATATATACCTGTGTATACAGTATATATTATTAGCAAAAAATCAACTGAATTCCCCTGAGATGCAGCTGCTGTAGCGTTACAGGAAGATTTGTCCCAGAAAGGACTGATACCTGAAGGTATCTAGGCAATAACCAGACGGCTGGTTAGGCAAGGGTAGGTGTGGACATGTATATTCTGGAGTAAGGTTACTGTATTTGTCACCCCACAAGCTTGATGTTGAAACAAATCGTCGTGTTCAAGATTTTGGTTCCACTACTCATTTTCATTTGAACAATTAAGTGTATGACTGGACTAAACATTTTTATATTAAAACTGTAACTGGTTGACAAATGACTTTCTGATGACTTTATTCTTCAAAGTGTTCGCTTTAATTATTTGCCTGTAAAATGTGACTCTTTAGCTTCATTTGTTTTCCTGTTGAAGGTTGTATCTTGTGGACCAGATCAGTGTTTTCTCATATTTTGTCACATTTTGACTGTGTTTTGATGATGGGGCATCAGCCATGCTTGTCCGGGAAGTAATAAAGGGCAAAAAGTCCTTTTTGAATCAGTTGCACTTCACTTGCTCTTTTTTCAGTTTGGTCTACAGCAAGTTGTAGTCTCTAATCTTGGAGTACCCTCAGTTGTTCTAGTACGAGGCCTGGGTAAGTGGAACTGAACTTTGTAAAAGCTGGAAGTATTCATATTCCTGATTCGCTTACCAAATGCTGACAAAAATCTTTGCTTTTCTATTCTCTGCAAAATTTGTCCATGCACCATAAAACTAGTGCTCGTTAGCACCCTCTATTTCAGAAAGCAAATAAAACCCTCACCTCATCATCCATTGTCAAAATGTAGGGTCCCTGTGTACGTAGGCATAAAGGCAGAAACGGAGAGATGTGATATTATTCTAGCACTAGCTCTTGTTCCAGGAGTAACTTTTTTTTTTTAAGTTTTTTTCTTACACTTACAGCAACTGCTAAATCTTTCTCGGTGGCTTCTGTTCTCTGCCTAATGTGGAAAAATGTAAATTTGATGGTCTGCCACTATGATACACATAAGTGCCTAATATAAAGTACTTTATAAAGACAATTTGCGTAATTCCAATAAGCAGTAAAGTATCTGATCAGTGTTTTCAGCTCAGTATGGTTTCATAGCTGTGTTACCTGGTGGCTCTGAAAACACATCTCTCTTCCTGATACTAAGCCAGCAATGTTTAAATGTTCTCCGCAGTCTTGTTTTTATAATAACCTGGGAAGCAGGCAATTTTTTTCAGCGAGGTGAAGTGTGTTTCCCCTGCTCTACCCTTAACGCTGACTGCCGGCTCAGAACATTGCAACAGCAGGAAGCATTCCCCGCTCTCCCCTTCCCCAGGCACGCAAAACTGTAACCTCATCTATGCATTATTTAATTGCTAACTGATTAGATAGCCGTTCTCAAAGTGCGTCAGCGGCACTCCCCCACTCGGGTAAACAGGTAATTTTATTTCCTGTAGCGGTGTGTATGTGTATCTGATATCTTGGCTTTCTTAGAATGAAAGATTGCAACGACCTATTACTTTTTTTTGTTCGTCCCTTCCATGGTCAGTTCTGCCAGTAGATGGCATTCTGGGCGTGCTGAATGCGTCCCAGTAATTACCAGAAAGAGTCCCACACACAAACAGTATGTAGAAAATGCATCTCTCTTTATTTGGAAGGTACAGTTACTTCGTTGCCTCCAAGTTAATAAAAAAAACCCCTACACTTTTAATTTATGTATTTATTTAGGCTTATGCGGTATGATTTTTGGAACTCAGTAACTTCTCAAGATCGTTCGACAGTTTTCTCGTAATGTTCTTATTTCACGTGGCTGATAATGGTAATGCTGCGAAACGCAGAGGGAACGGATGAGCCGCTCCGCCGTGCCGTAGAAGCAGCGACTCGGAGTTGTACATTGCTGGTGTTGGACATTGCTGGGTCACAAAATTAAGACTTGGCTGGTGGTCTGAAAGCTGCTGCTTGATACAACATATGAGAGAGTATCTCTTTTGGTTTTTTCCATTTGATTACCTCGAGGGAAAACTGGTTTTGTCTTAATAAAACAAGCCAGAACCTACCTCTCAATTAAATAAAATGGGTGCATTAGAAAAGCTTTATTCCACCTCTGTCTTCCAGCTGGGGAGATTCTTTAGCTGATTTTCTTTTACACATTTCTACTCTTCTTTCCTTCTTGCCATCCTTTCATGCCCGTATACGCTTTGTACCGCTTATATTTGCTTCCCAACTCTAACCTCAGCTGATTTTGTCTATAAATCATTCTCACACGTAAAAAAGAGACAGTAAGGCTTTATCCATAGTGGGTTTGTCTCAGGTTAAGAGATTGCACCTGTTTATTTCTGACTTTATATTCTGTGACAAGAAATGGGCTAAACCTTGGCACCTCTACCTTTATCTTGTGCCAAACGCAGTATGTTGCAATTTGTTCAGCGCTTTTTTTCCCCTCTGTGGTTGACACCCACCGCTGCTTGTAATTTCGGCAGCCCTGGCACTGCGAGGGTTGATGGCCTTGCAGAAAACAGCGTGAGAGAGCAAAGTCAAGGGAGAAAATGAATAATCTTAATTGCTATGGTAATGAATTAGACAACGATGTCATTTGTGCTACGGGAGAAGTTGTACTGAAATCACGAATGATCGTAAACCTTTTTTTCCACTGAATTTTGTGCAATCCGGAGTGTTACACAAGTCATGCCCTCCCTACACACAGATAAAACTTGTTTCTCTTGTAGTTACGGCACGTTGTCTTGACTCAGCATTTATGAAAGCACAGTTAGTCACATCTCTCGCTGGAGTCAGATGCAGGAGGTTCCCTTTTGTAGTTATTTCACTTTGTCATTAGCGCATTAGTTAAAGACTTTGGGTCCTTCTGTATTTTCTCCCATCGTGGGGCTGTAACTTTGATCTCCGGCTTTGGCATCGCGGGGTCTGCGTGCGGACCGTGGCCGGCTCTGGGTGTGGGCTCCTGGCACACCAGTGATGTGTTTTTAAAGACAGGAGTTGCAGCTAAACTCAGTTCTGTGGGTGTTCTCCCGAAAATGAAGGATTTCTGTTTTATTAGGATGCGTTCTGGGCTAAGTTCCCAGGAACTTGGTGCAAACAGCCGTCTGAAATTGAGATTGTCAATAGCCCTGCAAAATCAATGGCATCGCAGGGGAAGGTTAAAGCCACTTTTCCCACTTCAGCCATTGGGCCGCTCTGTGGTTGTTGGCAGAGAGGTTGAACCTGAGGCTTTGGATAATTTTGAGTTTAATATCAGAAACTCTGTCCAGTTTAACCTTATGACCTTTCTCTCCTTCCTCTTCTTCCCCCTTCAAGCTGCCAGCATCTCTGCTCATTCTGGTCTTGTCGACTGCCCTGGCAGTTGCAGCGTTGCACTGATGCAACTTCGTTGTGCTGGAGGTGGAATTACTCTGGGTTATTCTCAAAAGATTATGGACTAGAACCCGCAGCCTGTAAGTTCATTTGCAGGCTGATGGTCAAATAAATAAGCAGAAACAGGCCTGAATCAAATGATCAGCAACGTGAATCGCTCCCAAAGTCAGCGTGCTGGGCTACGGTCTGTTCTGGAGAAAGTTTTGTAGGCTTAGTTCAAATCTTGGCTGTGGATTTGTACCTTGGATCAAAGTTTTGTTGCAGGCCCTTCTCCAATATAAAGCAAAGAAACATAAAACAACAAATATCTAGTGAAATCCAAACACAATCTGCTCTATGTTATGCTACAAAAATGAATGAACTCTGCCTCCCACCCTCTCCCACTGTGACTTGCTGTGAATAAGCACTGCTCAAAGGAAACGATCGCAAGAAGTTCTGCCTCTTTCCAGCAGGTTTTAGGAATAACAATTGAGCAAGGAAAAACGCTGACTAGCTTTGTCTC